TATGCTAACTTTTGCGTCGTGACGCGTTCTGTCTGGGAAATTAACGCTTTATAAGAAAACGACGCTCTTTCGAAAAAGTTATATAGATTATTCCGATATTTTCTTTTCGAAAATGTCATTAGAGGTGCGATATTTTCACTCGGTTTGTTTTGGAAATATAACGTTTCTGAACTTTAAGCCCCTGAAAAGAGACGAAGCTATACTTCGATTCGTTCATGTCGAAATATAGTCCAACAAAGCTCTTTAAAAAATGGTGACTCTTGAGGACACTTGAAGTACACAGGCAGAAAAAAGATATAAACATTTAGAAAAACCGATATAAAAATTAGTGGTTTTTATTTAAAACAATATATGTAAAATCTGCTAATCTCAATTTAACGACAGCGAATAATTTCCCTGGTGGCAATGCGGCAAATCTCGTGAAAGTCCTCGTTAATATGGCTCCTCCAGAACTTGCAACGGCCCCAAACAACCGCCGGATAGTTGGGGCTCTGAATCCCGTGAAAAATCCTCGCCAGGGCTCTGCCGGTAAACTGATTGTCGCGGTACATGTTGATCATTGTTCGCACATCGTTCACCAGCTGTTCTTCATTGGTCTCCAGAGGCTTGATTTCTGCATCAAAAAAATCGAAAACAGTTCAACTAATCACCCACCGAGCTCCAAGGGCCTACCAATGTGTTCTAGTGGATCTGCAGAGTTGAAATACTCCCGAATTTTCTCCTTCAGAGGCGACTTTTCCTCACTAACGGTGATGCATGTCTTGTAGCTTCTCTCAGCCACTTCGGCCAGTAGTTTGTGGACGGCGTGCAGTTGCCTCAACGCTTTGCTTTCCTGCCTCAAAACCAATCCATGCAGATTGTCTAGCGCCTCGTCCAGCTGCTCGTCTGAAAGATTTCCTGGCGCCAGCATCCGGAACCCCAAGTTGCTGAACTGCACCGTCAAACTGGAGCGTTTTGGCTGATTGTTCACTGAAATGAACCATGTTTAAACTTGGCGCTTAAACCAGCAGCTGGAGCGTCACCTGAAGTCCACTCAAGGTTTTTCAGCTGGTGCTTGCAAATGCCACTCTCCCAGCCCATGGCGCTTGCCACGTCCACCACAGGAAACTCCACAATGTGATCCTCCAGCTCTTTGGGAGGATGCAGCGCCAAGGCCATGGCAAGAGGCGGGCACTCTTTGGCAGCCTTGCGGATCTGCAAAGGCCCCCCGTAGGAGATCACCTTGCAAGTGGTGTAGGCCGGATTTAGCAGCTCGATGTACTTGTTCTCGTGCAGCTCCAAGTAGCAGAGGAGAGTGGAGATGTTTTCCTCCGGTATGTCCAACGCCCTGACGGTAGCCTCCACGCTAAAGGCCACCTCGTGCTTGGGGCAGGTGCCCTTACAAGCGCACGGCAGGAAGATTCTTTGCAGGAGTTTTCGGATCACATGTCGGTCGATGGAGTTGGCGTGAATGTGGCGGCGCAGCTCACACTCGTCGCGTCCTAGTGAGTCAAGGAAAACGTGGCAGTGGGCTGGCAGTCCATCTCTGCCGGCTCTTCCCACTTCTTGCACGTAGTTCTCGAAGCTGTGGGGCATGTTGAAATGCACCACTGCTCGAATATCGGCCTTGTTGATGCCCATTCCAAAGGCCACAGTGGCCACAACCACCTTCAACTCCCCGCTCATGAAGGCGTTCTGGACGGTTCTCCGCCTCGAGGCGGAGAGCCCGGCGTGGTAGGGCTCGGCTTGCAGGTTGAGTCTTTTGCGCTTCTTGCTGCTTTCCACCACTGTTTCGCCTTTGAGGCTCGTCCGCAAAAAGCCGGCGATTCGCTCGCACTCCTCCCTCCGCGTGCAGTACACGATAATGCTCTGGCACTTCTTAAACCGTTCGGAGAGCAGGAGACTCAGCAACGCCCGCTCTCGTCCAGGGTCTTTGGACACAGTCAGGTGCAGGTTATCCGGCAACGGGACGTCGCTGATTATTCCTGAAAGAACTCTTTAAAATATCTAGGACATTCGATAATCCGGTAATAAGAATAACAGACCTTGAAGCCCATCAGGTATTTCCAGGGACTTCACGATGCTTTCGCAGGTGGCTCGGGTGGCGGTGGCAGTCAGCCCGAGAATAGTGCGCACTCCTAAGCTCTCTTTCAGCACGTGGCATATCATGAGGTAGCTAGGCCGGAAATTGTGCGACCATTGAGAGACGCAGTGGGCCTCGTCTATGCAGGCGAACGCTATTGGGGGCAACTTGCGGAACAGCGAGCCAAAACCTGGAAAACACCGCCAATCAAGCCAACGGTTAATGCCGGCAACACTTCATCTCATTAGAGTAGGAGATAAGTCGCCCCCTACCTGTTCGTTTCTCTCCCGCCACAATCGCCTCTGGAGAGATCAGCAGCACATTTAGATCCCCCGCGCAAATCGCCTCCATGATCTTCTGCCTTTGGGTCTTGGTCTGGTTGGTGTGTAAACAGGCGGCTTTCAGGAATTTTGGGATGCCTTCAAAGGAAATAAAATTGAAGAAATTGAGGCCTGGCGGCCGTGCCAACACTGACCAGTCACTTGGTCTTCCATGAGTGAAACCAAAGGGGAAATGACCAAGGAGATGCAAGGCTCTCGTTGGGAGTACAGATAGGCGGGCAATTGGTAGCAGAGACTCTTTCCGGACCCGGTGCTGAGGGTGACCAGAGTGGATTTGCCCGAAAGAATGCGCATGATGGCGGTTTCTTGCCCTGCTCGGAAGGATGTATGCCCGAACATTTCCAGAGCTCGGAAAACTTCTGGGGGCGAAGCTAGACACACCAACAAACAGCTTTGTTTAGCAAATTGCAACTTTCACTTCTTCTGAACCTCACCGATAACGCGTCCATCTTCTTGCAAGGTGTAGTAGGGCTCAACCACCTTAACATTATCCATGTACTGTTGAACATCCAGCTTCTTCACGTGCTCCTCCAGCCGCGCAATTTCTTCCAGAAGCACGTCTTGGTCTAACCCATCGTCCAACCATTCCTCGTCTTCCGAAGAATTGTCGCTATTCGAGGCGACGGTTTTTTCGGCGTTTTTGTTGATTGATTGCAGTTTGGATTTTCGGATATTCAAGTTGCTTTCAGCCGCCATTCTGGAGGCCTCCTCCAGAGAAGGAATGGTGCATTCTTCGTCGTCGCCAGTCAAAGGCAATAAACCCCCATCTGGGACGGAGAAAAACTGTGTATTGGCACAATATTAATTGTCAATATACATTGCAAAGACCATACCTTTATCAGCTTTACAGCGTTGAGCAAAATGGCCCTCTTGACCGCAGTTGAAGCACATCAGTTTGCCCCCATCGCAGCCCCCCATATCCATGTCGGGCCCATACAGGGCCTTTTTCTTGCTCCTCCACATCGCCTTCTTGTATTTGGCAAAGTTTTGGCCCTTTTTCCCTCGGACGAACACTTTTTTCTGGATGTTGATTCTGACGAAGTTCTCATTCAAACTACCCGCTGCGATTCTCTTCTCCAACTTCTCCTTGGCCGCGTTTTTGTCCGGCTTCTCCTCCTGCTCAGGACGCTTGCTCGTTTCCTTACTTAGCCTGCTTTCCAGCACGTTTTTGATGCTTCCAAACCTAGAGGCAACAATTCGCGGCTTCACATTGTACTCCAGTTCGTATTGGGTGTTTTCTTCAACATCCGACTGCTCAGGCAGGGAGTCTTTGGATTTTCGCTCCCGTTTCGGCTTGACCGGTCGAGTTTTTCTGATCTTCGATTTGGCTTTTTCGGCTTGCTGCTCAACATCCTCCAAAGTTATCGCACGGAACTTGTTCTTCATACTGTCGCTTTCAATGACGAATTCTGGGTCATCGCTGTTATTGTCCGAGGCGAACGGATCTTCTTCGCCGCTGGACAGTTCTTGGAAGCTGGCTTTCACTCGGGTCTCTCTTGCAGACCTTCGCACACTTGGTGTTCCCCGAATGGGGACTGTTTTTTTCAAAGGTTTTTTGCCAGACAATTCTCGGACCTTTTTCCTAGCGGCCTTGATCGGCGCCAGATTTACCTCCTTCTGATCAGTGCCGCTAACAGATTCTTTTGTGATGCTAGTTTGCTCGCTAGGTACATTATTTGTAATGTTTTCTTTTACGTGGACCTTAAGGTCAGTGATGGCAAGGGCTTTCTGCAAGGGAATTTCCTTTTTTGTGGTGTTTTGTGGGCTGTTGCTGAACTTTTGGTAGAAACTAAGTCGGGCTTTCTTGGCCACATGGTTCACCCGCCCGTAGCTCTCCACGTCCTCCACATCTGACTCTCCGATTATTTCATCACTATCGTAGTCAAGTTGTGTGTTTAGCGCTGGCTTGGGGGAGTTTACCAGTCTGGAAAAGCTCTGCGGCAATTCGGGGTTTTTCAGTGAAACTCCTGCTTGTTGAGTGACTCGCTGCAGCCATCCGGTATTCACTTTCCTCAAAGTGGGCCTCTCTCTTTGCTCCAACACACTGTCCACAATACTCACAGGCAGCGGTTGGGAGAATATTTGAGTAACCGGCTCTGCTACTTGGAAGTTGGAAGATGACGTTGGGAACTCTTCCCGCAAAAGGCTTTGAAAGGCGTCCTCAGATTTGAAGGTGCCCAGTGAACTGCCCTCCGAACTAGATTCTGTTGTTTTTTTTTGCGATAACGACTTGCGAGGGTTTCGTTTGGTTTTGGTGAACTTCGAGCCACAGAACAGCTTTTTGCTTATGTTGAGCACTGGCTTTGAGGGGCCCTTTTCCGCAGCATCACCTTGGGTCTTTAAGGGCGACTTTTTCTTGTTTAAGTGGCTGCCCCAAATGTCATCGTGGCCACCTTTCGAATCCTCTGATACCACTTCGGTGAAATTCTCATTGGATAGCTGCAGCTGTGAGATGGGCTCTGATTCTGAGGTTTCTTTGGGGGCCTCATTTGGCTCGTCTTCGTCCTCCAAGCCCTCCACGTCCATGAAGGACTCCTCCAAAGCAGCCGATTTCAGCTTGAAGTATCTGCGATATGCATCTCTTACTGGGGTGGGCGCTTCCCTGATGTCCAGCTAGGGATTGAGGGGTTTTCGACTAAATAAGCGCGAGTTGTGAGCTACTTACTTTGCATGGGATTCTTTTGTGTTTTTTCGTAAATTTATGCTCCCAGACCTTGACGGTGTATTTGCAGTCATCGTAGGTCTTCTTCACCAAGGGGTCTAGCAGTAAACTCATTGTTTTGCCTAATATTTACATTTACACTTCCTCCGGGTGTTTGGTTGACTTTGATTTTAACCTCACTTGACTGGTAGGCTGTGCAACCCGGCCTTGTCTAGCTTGCAGGGATAGAGACGGTTATAGTGTGGGGCATACAGCAGTCAGTAAATTAATTTATTATTGTATTTTCCCTACCGTGTCTCTTTGCAATAATGGAATAATTAATTCGATTAAACAACGTTTTTAATGAAAAACGCATGCATTTTTTGCATCATTTATTCTTACACAGTCAATATTTACATACAAAAAAAGTCATAGAAAATAATGTTTCTTTAACTAATTAACAACCCTAGTTTAAACTAACTCAGTAGTTTTTGAAGTGCTTAAGCCTAAACAGAGAAACTACAGACTGCCGGTTGCCCAGAGCTAAAAAGCCGCTTCCTGGCGTGAAATTAATACAGTTCAAATGGCCCAGTTTGCTCTGAAAAGCTGGGAAGTTCTTAAAAACCGTGCCGCTGGCCACATGGAACAGCTTGGCGGAGTTTTTAATATCCGTGGAAGTGAGTGCTAGGATTTCACTGGAAGAGTTGAACTTCAGGCCTGAAATAGAAGTGGTGAGGTTGAAGATGCTCCTCCTGGGTTTAGGAAGATTGCTCTGCAGCACATCTTCCATTCCATAGAGATTGACGACGCCCTGGGCAGATCCACAGGCTAGGAATTGGTTGGAGGAGGCGGCAGCTACAGCCGATCCTTGCAAGCAGCCTTCGTCGCTAAACTTGTGTTTCACGCGCCTCATATTGATGTCGAAGATGGTAACTTCTGAGGTATCTGAGTGGGCAAACAGCATGCTTCCTGTGGAGTTGAACTCCAGCGCTGTAACCTCGGAGTCTTGTTTTAAGGTGATAATTTTCTCTTTGGAGGCGGCGGATAGTAAATGGACGTCGCCCCATTTGCCTGCCACCGCAAAGTATTTGGAATCCGGGGAAACTGTGAATTTCTTGCACTGAGTCATCCCAGAGGGCAGATTGTAGCGTACAGATCTGGCCTCTATCAGATCGTAGACGAATATGTGTTTTCTATTGGAGCCCAAGATAGCCTCTTCCCCATTCTTCACAAACTTGGCGCACATGATGGGGAACCCTTCAAAGGCCACACTGTGCAGCTTGTTGTTCTTCTTACCATCAACTGCAAACAAGGTCGCAACCCCCTTGTTGCCTGCCACTAAGCCCACACTCGAAGTGGGATGGAACTCCACTGAATTGATGAAGGGCCCTTCCGTGTAAGTTTCACAGTTTAAATCCTTGACTTGCTTGAACTCCAACGAGCCTGCGGGCAATGTCGTCCTTCGCGTTTTATTAATAAAACCCACAGTGTGAAATATCTCATCATCCTCATCCTCTGAATCTGAAACTTCTGCTTTGGCTTTGCCCAGGCGGGCCCATGTTGGTGTGCCGGCAATGGCTTCAAATTTGTGCTCCAGCAACTGCGAGTATTTGTTCCTGCTGTCGTTTATTCCACCGGCAGGCAAGCGGCGTCCCTGTACTGCTAGGGCTTCGCCCACCTCGATGCCCTGATCATCTTCATCGAACCATGCTGGCTTCTTCTGCTCCTGCCCATCGCTGTCTTCGGCCGAGCCGCTGTCGATCCCGGAGTCCGGATTTGCAGGGCCAGGTGCGTCAAAATGCCCCAAAAAAACGGCCGGGTTGGCAAACAGGTCAACGGAGCCCCCATTGCCCAACAGCCCGGTTTTGTTGATCCGGATTTTTTCACGGGGTGCTGATTCGATCTGGTCGCTCGATTGGAGGATTTTGCGTTTACGGGATTGTCTAGGCATTTTTTAACTAAAAAGTCTCTGCTAACAAGGCCGATTCTAAATAAAAACAGGGCACCACAAATGAATCTATGATCATAGATAAAGACGAGTATGATCTATATTTATCTATGAATGACACTCCAAACTCCGAGAGAAGAAAACGAGGCAAGTTATAGTTTAAGGTTAGATAAGAGTTGCCAACAGGAGAATACCGAAAAAGAAAACACACTAAAAACTGCAAATTCAAATTCGATTTTGATGAAACTTATCAGCATCTTTTGTCAGTATAGAGTCCATTGTTTTTCAAAGCTGGTGAAACTTTCAATTTGATACTCGCTTTAGTTTGGAAGATTCGAATTTTGAGAGAAAGGCGAACCTGAAAACTTATTGATTTTCACACGAGCTCTTGGATGACTCTTGTTACATTTAGGAATACTTTGGACTTCTACATCTTGACATGTTGTGTAGACTCCGGAAAAGTTAATTCAATTAAACAATTCAAAATAACATTAATTTAATTTGCATAATACTGCGCAGCTACATCTATGTACAAGTGGTGGAAGGTTGAGAGCACTTCTTGTTCCGCCCATCAGCAGCGACAAACGGCATTTTCCAAAYTCACATGGCAGATCTTCCTTTCAGATCAGTCTTTATCTATGAGATCTTCTTCAATCTTTACCGGCTTTCAAACCATAACCCTGTTTAATCTGTGTTCTCGCGTTCTACTTGTTTGTGTTGTTTTGTAGTAAATCAGTTTTCGAAGAATATACACGATGAAAATAGGCACAAAGGACAAAACCAAKAAAGGAAAAGGGGTACAGAAAACCCAGGCGAAAACCGTGAAAAATCTGTGCAAAAAAATTAAGAAAACTCTCAAAGACTTAGGCGAGGTAAGTGTTTGAGCTTGATGCCTCTCTAGAGGGTAGTTTCGAATGAAAACCTCTTTAGGACGACATCTAGAGCGTTCTGGCCCAAATCGAGCAAGAGGAGAAGAAAAGGCTGCGAGTTGTTGAGTGCCATGTGGAGCCCCCGAGTCGGCGGGTGAACTTCAGCTTTGTCAGCCATCCGGATAAGGACCAGTTGATTCTGTATGGAGGGGAATACTTCAATGGGCAAACGGTAATTTTCACTCACATCTATCAATCTCTGAGTCTACTAAAAATTCCCATAATTTTCCAGACGTCCGTCTACAACGAGCTGTTCTTCTACAACATCCCTAACAACAAGTGGACTTTGGTTAAAGCCCCAGCTGGTCCTCCGCCACGCTGCGGACATCAAATGGTGGCCTCATCAGCCAAGAAAGGGCAACTATGGGTCTTTGGCGGGGAATTCGCCAGTCCTTCTCAATCCCAGTTTTACCATTACAGAGACCTTTGGGTAAGCGTCTGTTTAACACTGTGAGGTGCTTTTGAATCAACGTGTGAATCAACTTTTCAGGTTTACAGTATCTCTGATAAACAGTGGAAGAAAATCACAGCCCCCGAAGGCCCCAGTGCTCGAAGCGGCCACAGGATGGTTCTGGTTAAGAAACAGCTATTAGTGTTCGGGGGATATCATGATAACAGCATGGACTACAAGTACTTCAATGATGTGCACAGTTTCGACCTGGAGACCTATAAGTGGAGGAAAATTGTGCCGGTTGGCACCCCTCCAGCTCCAAGGTAAGTCTGGATGAAACTTTACCATTTCGCTAATTAATAAATTAATTTAACAATTAATCTCTGCTTAGATCGGGCTGTTGTATGGTTCCTCTGCAGGATGGCAGCGTGCTGATCTACGGCGGCTACAGCAAGCAGAAGGTGAAGAAGGATGTGGATAAAGGCCACGTTTACACTGATGCTTTCGTTCTGAGGCTGGACAGTGAGTTTCTTTCCCTACCTCTTATCAGCGAATCTAAAAAACTGTTTTTCAGAACACGATGCGACTAAAACCAAATACCAGTGGCAACAAGTGAAGCTGGGCAGTCAGCACTTTTCCCCCAGATGCAGCATGCCTGTAGTCACAGCAATCAACGGCCAGTCAGCCTACTTCTATGGGGGCGTCTTTGACATCGAAAAAGGTACGTTTCGGATGCCACCAATCGAGTCAAACTCACTCAAACGCTTGTTGCAGACGAAGAAGTCATAAGCGGCAACTTCTTCAACGACTTCCTGCAACTAGACTTGGATAAAATGGCCTGGACGCAACTGGAGTTGGCCAGCAAAAAGGACTTGAAATCCAAAAGAAGACGAAACAAGGAGGATGACAGTGAAGAAGGTAAATTTAGGCCTCTGACGGAACGAGCGGTTTAATTGAGCGTTTTATAGTAGTTCCAGATAACGGCGATAGTGAACCGAGTGCCGAACAAGAGCAGCCCATAGTGGTATCGGACAGTGGAGTTTTCAAAGTGACGATGGCCCCAAAAGTTCACTGTAATGTCCAGTCAACCGGCCAGAACTTGGCGGAAAAATCCGCGGTATTCCAGCCGAGCCCCAGAATTAATTGCGGGCTGGCTATTAAACAGGGAATTCTCTATTTGTATGGAGGTGAGAACAGCTGCAAATCCTTTCATTTGGGTGTTTGGTGTCTTTGTATTTCCTCACTGAGGAATTGGTAATCAGAGACTTTAACGAAAAAATCCTTTTCCTAGGCATGTTTGAGGATGGGGAGCGGGAGCTGACCTTCAGTGACTTGTACAGCATAGACGTGAGAAAGCTGGACGAGTGGAAGACCATAATCGAAGACGATGCCTTCAAAATGGAATGGTTGGTATCGGAATCGGAGAGTGAAAGTGAGGAAGAAGACGATGATAGTGACAGTGGCTCGGAAATGGAAATCAACTAGAACTAGACTAGTGTGTGGGTCTCTTGTGCGGGAAGTTGGGAGAACTTCTTAAAACTCCAGACTTTGTTTAATATGTGAAAAAACAGCTTTGTAAATATAGAATTAGAAAATTAAACTAGCGGTGTCATTCAAGCCGTCGACTCTTATGAGCAGGTGGCCACCACCAGAACGTCCAGAACTTTGTCCAAGAACAAGACAAAATCCCCAATGAAATTGATGCCGCCCCTCGGAAAGGGTTAGCATCCCCCCTGGGAGATGTTCTGTGGAGCATCAGACCTTAAGAAAATTTCTGTACAAACTTTTGATATTTTATGGAAAAGTACTGTGAATACTTTGCTGCTACTTATGTACAAAAGGTAGAAGTTCGAGACTACTTTTTCTAAGGCCTAACAGAAGCGACAAACCGCATTTTCCAAACTCACATCGCAGATCCATGATACAATTAATACAACGTAGGATATTGCGTCGATTTGCGTGACGTCAGTGGAAGTCACTGTGCGTAGTGATTTTTTCCTGTCTGCTAAATGTGATTAAATATAGCTTATTTAGTCTTTGCCACATTTAATATTTTTTTTGTAAATCTTCGTTACAATTACAAAATGCTTTGCAGCAGGTTTTAAACTTGAAAATGAAAATTAACAATTTATTTATTTGTAGACTAGCACAGTTGCCAGATGTGCATTAAAGTAAAGCGTTTGTTTTTGGCAAGTACCCCAAAAGGTCGAAATACAAATTCCTCTAATCATCATTTTTGAAATGCTGAGAGCATGTTCTGGCGGAGGCAACATTAATTGTGTCTGCACGACAACAAGCACTCTCAGAGCTTGCCTAAAATACTGTCTTTTGGAAATCTATGAAACTTAATTTCCAGAGATTTAGCTCTCGTATTACTATTGCAACCGTAAACTGCACACCGCAATTTTTATATTTCTGAACCGACACCTAAAAGTAGCAAACAATCTCCTGTATACTTTCCAACTACGAAACGCATAATGCTCAGTTGTTTGTCTACAAAATTTCCACAATAAGCCCAAATCAGGTCCCAAACGCGATTTTGAAAGCATTGAGCTATACAACACTGCCAACCATATCTTCATATAACTTTCCACTTTTGAACTATTGCGTTTTAAATTCAATGAAAATCTGTCTAGGTTACATGCATTTTAAATGGGATCAGCTGTTCACGTTACCATAGTGCTAACCAGTGACGTCATGTGCGCACGACAATCGATTTTTGCTTCACTCTGTACCAGATTACAAACACAAACCATAACCCTGTTTAATTTGTGTCCTATATTTTGTGTTCTACTTGCGTTATACTTGCTCGTGTTGTTTGTGGTCAATCAGTTTTCGAAGAATATAATCGGTGAAAATGGGCAAAAAGGACAAAACCAAGAAAGGAAAAGGGGCAGAGAAAACTCAAGCAAAAACCGTGAAAAATCTGAGCAATAAAATGAAGAAAACCCTCAAAGACTTAGGCGAGGTAAGTGTTTGAGCTTGATGCCTCTCTAGAGGGTAGTTTCTAATGAAAACCTCTTTAGGACGACATCGAGAGCGTTCTGGCTCAAATCGAGCAAGAGGAGAAGAAAAGGCTGCGAGTTGTTGAGTGCCATGTGGAGCCCCCGAGTCGGCGGGTGAACTTCAGCTTTGTCAGCCACCCAGATAAGGACCAGTTGATTCTGTATGGGGGGGAATACTTCAATGGGCAAACGGTAATTTCCACTCACCTCTATCAATCTCTGAGTACTAATAATTCCCATAATCTTCCAGACGTCCGTCTACAGCGAGCTGTTCTTCTACAACATCCCCAACAACACGTGGACTTTGGTTAAAGCTCCAGCGGGTCCCCCGCCACGCTGCGGACATCAAATGGTGGCCACATCAGCCAACAAAGGGCAACTATGGGTTTTTGGCGGGGAATTCGCCAGTCCTTCTCAATCCCAGTTTTACCATTACAGAGACCTTTGGGTAAGCCTCTGTTTAACACTGTGGGGTGCTTTTGAATCAACGTGTCAATCGACTTTCCAGGTTTACAGTATCTCTGATAAACAGTGGAAGAAAATCACAGCCTCCGAAGGCCCCAGTGCTCGAAGCGGCCACAGGATGGTTCTGATTAAGAAGCAGCTATTAGTGTTCGGGGGGTATCACGATAACAGCATGGACTACAAGTACTTCAATGATGTGCACAGTTTCGACTTGGAGACCTACAAGTGGAGGAAAATTGTGCCGGTTGGCACCCCTCCAGCTCCAAGGTAAGTCTGGATGAAACTTTACCATTTAGCTAATTTATAAATTAATTAAAGTGAAGGTAGCAAGTGTGGGACAATGATGGAAACGTCACTATTCAATTATCTGCCGACGTTTCGACCTTTATTGGGTCTTCTTCAAGGCTCAAATTATGTGAACGTTCTGGCTAAGTAGATTCATTAGAGTGAATGCATCCCCATGGCAAGGCACTCATTATCTTTGAAATTCGTAATTATATGGCCATAATATCGGTCTCCATAATATCCTGCTACCTTCACTTTAATTTTCCAATTGGTACGCAAAAAAAGCGAAACGAAATTGTTTATAAATTAATCTTACATTTTATCTCTGCTTAGATCGGGCTGTTGTATGGTTCCTCTGCAGGATGGCAGAGTGCTGATCTACGGCGGCTACAGCAAGGAGAAGGTGAAGAAGGATGTGGATAAAGGCCACGTCTACACTGATGCTTTCGTTCTGGGTCTGGACAGTGAGTTTCTTTCCCTAGCTTTTATCAGCGAATCTAAAAAACTGTTTTTCAGAACACGATGCGACTAACACCAAATACAAATGGCAACAAGTGAAGCTGGGCAGTCAGCACTTTTCCCCCAGATGCAGCATGCCTGTAGTCACAGCAATCAACGGCCAGTCAGCCTACTTCTATGGGGGCGTCTTTGACATCGAAAAAGGTATGTTTCAGATGCCACCAATCGATTCAAACTCACTCGAACGCTTGTTGCAGACGAAGAAGACATAAGCGGCAACTTCTTCAACGACTTCCTGCAACTAGACTTGGATAAAATGGCTTGGCGGCAACTAGAGTTGACCGGCAAAAAGGACTTGAAATCCAAAAGGCGACGAAACAAGGAGGATGGCAGTGAAGAAGGTAAATTTAGGCCTCTGGCTGGGCGAGCGGTTTAATTGAGCGTTTTATAGAAGTTCCAGATAACGGCGATAGTGAACCGGGTGCCGAACAAGAGCAGCCCATAGTGGTATCGGACGATGGAGTTTTCAAAGTAACGATGGCCCCAAAAGTTCACTGCAATGTCCAGTCAAGCGGCCAGAATTTGGCGGAAAAATCCACGGTATTCCAGCCGAGCCCCAGAATGAATTGCGGTCTGGCTATTAAGCAGGGAATTCTCTATTTGTATGGAGGTGAGAACAGCTGCAAATCTTTTTATTTGGGTGTTTGGTGTATTTGTTTTTCCTCACTGAGGAATTGATAATCAGAGACTTTAACGAAAAAATACTTTTCCTAGGCATGTTTGAGGACGGGGAGCGGGAGCTGACCTTCAGCGACTTGTACAGCATAGACGTGAGAAAGCTGGACGAGTGGAAGACCATAATCGAAGACGATTCCTCTAAAATGGAGTGGCTGGGATCGGAATCGGAGAGTGAAAGTGAGGAAGAAGACGATGATAGTGACAGTGGCTCGGAAGTGGAAACCGACTAGAACTAGACTAGTGTGTAGGTCTCTCGGGCGGGAAGTTGGGAGATCTTCGTAAAACTCCAGACTTTGTTCAATATGTGAAAATGGTGCGCTCCAAACATCACAGCTTTGTAAATATGCAATTAGAAAGTTAAACTAGCGGTGTGTCATTCAAGTTGTCGACTCTTCTTTGGCTGTAGCGGGCTGAACGGGGGGGTCAACTGCGTGAAACCCTGAGGCGTTTTTCGAGTCCTCGACAAACTCCATCAGCCCCCTGGACATAAAATAGGGCCTGGAAGCGCCGTCGTTTAACTCGCAGTCTTCACAGAAGCACATAAAAATCGTGTCGATGGTCATCTGGAAAAGCCCCCCGTATAAAACCTGCAGGCTTCCAGCCGCCACTTTCCCATACCTCGTATACGGTCATGAAACAGTGCGCTATAAAGTAGCTGAAGAGCCCGATCAGGGCCAAAGGCACCCAGTAATGATGCAAGTTGTCTTTGTGCTGAAAGCCGCTTTTCAGTTGCCTTTAATAAGCCGGAAAATGTTGTTACCTTAAGGAAGTATGAGCCGATGGCCACACTGCAAGCCACCACCAGAACCTTGGCCAAGAACAGGACAAAATCCCCAACGGAATTGATGGCAGCCACTCGAAGAGGGTTAGCGGTCAGATGGGCCAGAGCTTGTTTGCCAGCCCGGCAAAACGAGTCCCCATACATGGCTAAAATTTCCAGCTAAACCTCCAAGCCTCCAACCCTATGACATTCCGTTACCTGTTAAGATATAGGCGTTCCTGCTGATCACGTTCAGAACCCGATCTAAGAGCCAGAAGCAGCAGTTGCACAGGCACAAACATGTCTTGGCAAGCCAGACCAGATGCGAATTGCTTTGGTACGTTACCATCCTTTGCATTGCTGTGAAGATCAGTCGCAATATCTGCACTGTGGCCAGGCAAAACGACCCCAGGGCTACAGATCCCAAGTGGAAGCGCGCCAGATTATAGAAGCTCCTTGCAATTGGGGAGGATAATTGGGATTTGTTCCTGCAATTTTTTTTAAATGTTTTACCTGAAGACAACTTGGTAATCTTTAAGGACATCAGGCCTTAAGAAAATTTCTGTACCAACTTTTCTTATCTTATGGAAGAGTAGTGAATTTCAATGAGTGAAAAGTAAAACGTCAAAAGCTGTATTTCCGCAAAAAAACATCACTAAGGAAGGTGCTTGAGACAAAGATTATCTATAAGTCCTGATGTTTTTAAAAATTACTAATAGCTTGTTTGCTTGCCTGGAAAAGTACCACTTGGAAACGGCGCCAGCAATAACCAAGTGCTGGCACCCAACCACAAACTGGCACATCCAGAACATGCCAAAGACATTCAGCACCTTTGTGGCCTCCATCAAGCCATCCTTTTTGTAGTAGTAGATGTTGGGGCGTTTCATTCTCAGGCGCCCAGAGCTGCTTACCCAAAGACACAGATAAGCACAAAGCGACAACACGCCAATGATCCACATGAATGTCTATAAAGAACGCTCTTTGGTAGACATATCTTAACTTACTGGATGCTTACCAGAATGGGCTCAAAAAGAAGGAGCGGCATGGCCGCTAGAGCTTTGCCGGCTTCTTCAAACAACTGAATCACCAGCTTGATCCTCTTGATCATTACACAAATTATCAGAGTGAGAATCACGGTGGCGCAAGTGGCCCCAATGGCCAACCCCAACCAGGTCCACACTTCTTCGCTTCGGATTTCCATATCTTCTTTTTGCAGCTCCTTTACCCCCTTCCAGGAAACCCTTCAAAGTGTCTATGGCTGATTAATCCTGTGGAGTGGCCAATCCTGCTTACCATAGATAAATGCTGAGTCCCAGACAGGCAAGAAACACTCCAATCAGGATAATCCAGACCAGCAGCCCGGCCAGGAATGGAAAGAGCAGGAACAAGATCAAAGATATTACTAAAATGGAGTGAGTCAAGAAGCTGCAAGTGGAGCTTACCCAAGGAAATGGCGCCCATGTAGATCAGCACCTTCCAGTAGTCGTTGAAATCTTCGCAAATTTCCTGACGAAAAACCTGATGCAGAGCAGTGAAGAAGTAAAATAGAGGGCTTACCATGAAGAAGTCCTTGATGCCAGCTTTAGTGAAGAAAGCCTGGAAGGCCTGCGTCTTCTTGCTGGATGGCAGGCATCTGTTGAGGAACTCGTTGCTGAAAATTGCGGGCTTTAACAAGTCCTCTGCCCAGTCACTTTGCTTCACTTACTATCCTGGATAGAGGCTGCAGTTTCTCGTGCAAATCCTGTCATAGAGTCGCGTTTGCTCCGGCCTGTAGAGGATCAAGTGGTAGCTAAAACTCAAAACCACCACAATCAACACCAAAATCTCAAGCTATTTGAAGCCTCATGCACCTTCCAAACTGGGTGTTATCAATGGACTTGTAGCAAGTCTCCATTTGCTTAGAGGAGGACTTGGAGGTTTGCTTGCTTCCGCACACTGAGCCGCAATTATCGTATCCATGAATAACCCTGTCAATATCGCCATAGTGGACGCAGTAAGCTATTAAAAAGCACTGCAAGCCCACACACATTATCCACTAGAAACACTTAAAGAAAAACGTACCAGAGTGGTGAAGAACAGCAGGAACACCGTGAAAAAGCACACGTCGGTTGGTTTGCGCCGTTTGGTAAGCAAACTGTTGGCGCTGCCCGCGAAGGTTCCAGGCCTACTTTTGCCATACTCATTCAGCTAAAGAAAAAAAGGTAAGCTCGGTAAGGAAATTGGAAACGTGTACTTGCCCACTGCTGCAAATCAAACATATTTTCGCCCCCCTAGTCACACAGTGAAATTTTTTTAACAAACTCGAGTGCGGGTGTTTAGCTGCTATAAAAAACCACTATTACTAATGAAAAACGCAATTAACACTTACATGCGCTGCATCTACAGGGCGTATTCTATCGCTTTTGCCCGAAATCCCCATTGGAAACACGCCAAATTAAATGCACTCCCTTTTGTTAACTAAAACCGAGTTTCAATTGTCCACCAGACGGAAGAAATGACGATTAATCAAGAAATTTGAAAGCGAACTTTGAGTCAACAGTCATTAGAAGGCATAAATTGAACGTAATGCATGTTTAGGTGGTTAAGAAGCGGCTGGGCAATCATTCACTTGAGCCTAATTCGGGGCTTTTGCGGGATTCAATGAATCCAAATTTAATGAACTTTGTTGTATCGTGACGCCAGACTAACTCAATTGGGGGTAGATTAATTTTTAATATCATCAAAGGGCATTAAACTGGGGAAGTTGTGCAGTTTTTCGCGTTTTTTTAAGTTTGAAACATTCTAGACCCTCATTGAATGTGGCAAATCGAACGCATTTTGAAGAACTTATTCACTAAACCTACTGCTATGAATGTGCAGAATTTCAACTTTTTGGTAGAACGCGTGTAGGATTATGGAACATTTAGTCATTTGGACGACGAAGGAAGTTTGGAAAATTCTAGAACATTTACTAGCTTTCCGAAATTTTCTACATTTATCCGCTAAACTTTCTCCTACAACGATCCAGAACTAGGATCAGATCTGGCCGGGTTTGCCAGTAGCAAATTTTTAGACCCGATGAACGTGTACGACTAGGATGCTTGCCAGAATTTCAAAGTTTAAAATTTTCTAGAAATTTATTGAGCGTGGCGAATCGAACGAATTTTAAAGAATTTATTTACTAAACTCTCTGCTATAAATATTCATAATTTCAACCCCCAGTCTAAGCGAGTTTGTGACCTGAATTTTTAGAAGGACGCGGGTCTTGTTGAAGCGCTTTTCTGAAAAGTCAAAGTTTGGTAAATTCTGCATAATTTACCAGCCCCCTGAATGTTCGGAAATTTTCTACGCTTATCCGCTAAGGTATATTCTACAAATATCCAAAATTACAGTACTATGTCTAGCCGGGTTTGAGAGTTGCGAATTTTTTCTGAATTTCAAAGTTTAAAAATTTATAGAAATTTATTGAGCGTGGCGAATCGAACAAATTTTTGAAGGCTTATTCACTAATCCCTCTGCTATGAATATCTAGAATTCCAACTCTAAGTCTAGTCGAGTTTGGAACTTATGCATTTTTAGAAGAACACACTACAAGGTTAAGGAACATTTCTGAAAATTCTGGAAAATTTACTAGTCTGAATTTTCCGAAAATTTTTGCACTCATCCTCTAAGACTTCTTCTAAAATACCCAGAATTGCATTATTAAATTTGATAGAGTTTGCAAGTTGGCAGGCTTAAAAAACGCGGAAAACTCCAAATTTCAAAAACGAGGAAAATTTTCTAAAGTAAAACACATTAAAAAAAAACTCACCTTTTACCCAGAAATAAACAAATTTTCACGCAATCCATTAAATATGCAATAGCCGCTACATACATGTATGGAGATGGGCGATTCGATAAGGGAGACATGACACCCATTTTTAGGGCGCGAACATAAACAAAAGGAGGGTTTCCCGGGCAACGATGGGGGTAAACCCTTGCAACCCTCACCCATTGTGCTTTATGGGACAGAACAACTCTGACATGCATTAGCTAATGAGGTTCCATTAGAGGGATAGAACAATATAGGACGAAAATCATGAATAAAACGCCTTGAAATGAGGAAACGACCGTTTATTCACGCGACTAGATTTGGTTTGTTTTCAAATAATCCAAATCGCCATCATCTAAATGAGTTTGGAGAAATTCATCCACCGAGTCAGTGTTCCACTTCTCAATTGCCACAGTTTCCTGAAGGTGCCCATCCTTGTCATACAGCTTGATAATGGGGTCTAAGCCTTGAAAAAAAAAACGCAGTTGAATCCCATCCAAAGGAACCATCGCAACTGCTCACCTCTAACGTATTTGATCTGAAGATTCTGGAACTTGGCAGGTCGGTCGCTTTTGATGAAGGCCTGAATTTGAGGATAAGCTCCAAACTTGCACGTGCACACCTCCAAGACTGCTTTAGCATAGCGCTTTTCCTCCTGGCCCTTTTCGTCGGGACTGCAGCACTCCTTGCAATGGTCCCTGCGTTTGCAATATTACTAACAACCAGAACCGAACGCGACTTGGAGCTTACTTGAGCATTTCCAGGTTGAACCTGGGCAGTTGCTCACAGGAGGAACACAGCAAATTGGCCTTGTTAAACCCGAGCGTCCAGCAGTCTTCTGAGGAAAACTCAGCCCCAATCGGGGCCTAAAAATGATTGTTTACAACAACTTATGAGAGGGAGAGAGTCTTTTGGCAGCTTACCAACACCGATAGGAGGCCTATGATTATTCGGTACATTTTTTAGGAGAATAACTAGGTATATAGAAACTTGTTTATCACTTGACAACAAAATAACCTAAGAATATCAAGTGATTGATTGAAGCTGCTTTCGCAGTTGCCAATAGTAAAATTTTCACTGCGGGTTTCGGGAAATCTTTTTCTATCGCACCAAATTAAGCCCCCAGTACCTGACCTGATGGGCGAGAAATTAAACACCCCTTGTTTATCCCTCTGGAAATATTTTGTAAGAATTGCTCTCCCCATCACCGTTTGGTAATCTGTGATGAGCATATTTTTGGCTTCAATTCAGCTGCAAGGATAGTCAGAGGTGCGACCAGGCAACAAGGCCTCGACGGTATGTTGACTGTTGACAACTGCCAGTGTTGTCAAAATTAGTAAATAATTGCAAATATTTATTGTTTTATCAATGTTCGCTTAAAAGGCGCTGTAAATATGGTTGTTGTAATTACACAAAGTGCAACGACCGCCTACAGGGCTGCAACGTAACCGAATCGATTCGCCACAGTGTTTTTTGCCAAGTGAAACTTTCCTGCTCTCATCAGCATTTACCAGTTGGTGTTTCAACCTTGTCACAGCTTGTCTGCTCTGGGCGATGGCCAACAAGTGCAAAGTAAGTCCTAGACAACTAGCTTTAAAGCCCTGAAGCTGTGGCATCAGATAGGGTTAAGTGTGCTAACCAAGAAAGTTGCCTAAAAGGACAAACTGACTAAACACTTGCCCCCCATATGTTGGTGTGCTAGGAATGCGGCTGTTCCTGTAGAAAGTGCCTGGCAAGCGACCATGACGTTCAGCTGCATGTGGAAATTGAGAACCTCAAGCAGAGGCTGGTGGAGAAGGAGAACCACATTGTTATGATGGAGACCAACTTCCTCAATGAAGCCAACAAGTTCCCCAATGGGGAGCTGATGGCTGTCAAAGAGGAACTGCTGACCTGGCAGGACAAATACAAGAGGTACTTCCATTTTCCGAGTAGAATGGATAATCGGCAACTGACTGAAAGCGATTGCAGACTGTACGACGCCCACAGAAGAGTCCAAAGAGTGAATCAGGGGTTGGAAGATAAGCTGCTGAAGCTGGTGGATGTGTGCGAAACTGATAAGACCACCTTGACTAGGGACGTGGCGACTTTGTCCCATAGTCTGGCTGAAGCAAACTACGCCATCAAAAAGCTAACGGGCGACAATGTAAGCTTGATCAGTTGCTGATCAAATCTCCATTGTATCACCCCAATTTCAGGAAAGATACAAAAACGACGTCAGTCTAGCTATTCAATTCCTGCAGTGCAAGCAAACCAACTTCGTTGCCCATCGCTTCGATTCGGTGAGTTTAAACACACGAACTTAAACAACTATTTTTGTGCAGCTTCCTTCAGAGGTGCAGACTCAGGTGGCTGTTTATATGAACAACAAACGAAAGCCCCTGGAGGAGAAACGCGCCCCACTGGAGCCCAAGAGCATTAAGGTGCCCATTCCCACATTCCCGCCTACTGCCATGGTTTATTCGGTGCCTAAATCGCCCAAATTGGCCGAACAGCCGCTTGTTGAAGACCAACCGTCCCAACAAGTTGATATCGTTTCTGCCGCAATAATGGCCAAAGGTGAGCTGGTTAAGCAAACAACATTCACTTAAAAAACTCGTCCATTTTAAGTGCTGGAGGAACGACAGAAGGAGAAAGCCCTGGCCAAACATTGCGACACTTGCACATGTGCCAAAAGCCTGAAAATCATCTACGAAGTATCGCATCATCACATCGGCACCCAAACGGGTCCAGAATGCCGTGAAAATGTGGTTCTGCCCCAAGCCCACTCAACTGGTTGGTAGCCATGGGAGGATTTGCGGAAAACCCATCGAATCTTCGTTGCAGGTTTGTCGATTTTAAAAACAGTGGTCGAAAAGTCCAAGCGCTCCTCGCCCTATCCGAATCTCGTGGCGCCGCTGCCATTGGAGGCGGGCCCAAACCCGCAGAATGTCGTCAAAGTGCAACCAAATAATTTTCTGATTGAGACAACGCACACTGTGGCGGTTCAAAAACCTGAGGATGATGCACAAGGATTGCCCGATTTGATCGAGTTTGAGGACGTCGGAGGGTTGAGGGTGCTGGAAGTCCCCCACCTGAATGAGGAGGAGGAGGAGGAGGAGAAGCGCGCTATTGACAAGAGGCTAGTTTAGTAGACACTAAGACTATTATTTGAATTAATCAGCGGTTTACTGCAGCAGTCTAGTGGGAGCTTCGGAAGTCCTAAGGGGCCCCCGGTACGCCTCAATGCTTGTGCAAAGCGGTTCCAAGAACATTTTGCTTGATAACGCCCATAATAGCATCGCCCCCGTTTTGTATACGAGAAGTGTAGGCAAAGTGAAGCAACCTTCTTCGCAGGTATGAGCAAGTCGTGACTACTGAGCTGCATGTTTGCGAAACCGTTTTTCCAAGCATGACTTTTTTTGTATATTCGTCGAAAACTAGTCCATTATGTGATGAGAACCCAGCATGCTCAGTTTTGTATACTTCGTACTCACAAGCCAAAGAGGTGTATATCAACTGAAGGAAAATATATTTTTACACTCCAGTACTAGTTGGTTGCTTTATTTGCCCCTCCAGTTGCATGTTTGCTTAGATGCGCCCTAAGTGATAGTACTCAAGTCAGTCAATATCTCATAGAATATCCAGAATTCATCCCAAAAGCCCGACTCCTGCTCCGTGTCCAGTCACGGCAGCAAACACATGAGTGTCGTCAGCGAAAATTCCACGCAACATCAACAGCGAATCAGTGACTGGGTGCAGGTAGTTATAGCTATTAGTTAGTGTTGCCTGGTCGAAAATTCTATAGATGGAAACACCAGAATTCAGCTGAATAGATCAGTAGATTAGTGTAGAGTGTTTATATATGAGTGAGGAGCTTAAAGCCGTGTCTACATAAATCAAGATTAACGCGGGGTTCATACCTGCGCTTAATTTTTTGTTCATATCTAGAGAATCGGTTGAGCTGTAGAGCTCTCGTTGTCATTGAAGGCGTCTACTGAAACAATATCAATGTGATTTTAGATTACTGTCGAACAGGAGATCAGCAGCCCGGATAATTCCCGCACGGAAGAATTGAAGATCGACCCGAAAAAGGAGCAGGAAATCAAGCAGGACAAGGCGCGCTATGCGGAAATGGAAGAAAACGTCAAGCGGTTTCTCTTTGGAGAAAGCGACTTTTGGAAAACCGTGGAAATCGGCAAGCTCAAGTACAAGAGTTACCAAGAGGGCGACAGAGCCCAGAAACCTCCCAGTGAGGGCAGCCGAACGAGCTCTCATATGGAAACGGAGATCTAGACTATCCACTCAATCCTTAAATTTCAAAACTGTGATTCTAAATCTATAAACCAAAGTATTAGCAGAATATTTTAGATAAGTATATTTCCTATTTACGAGTATAGTCTCTATATCTTCCAGATTACTGTTAATAAACCTTCGGGTAGAAGCCTTAAAGTATTGAGATTGGTTTTATAAGGGAAAGTGCGTGAACAAGGCCATAGTATTAAGCTTATTGTGCGTGATTTAACATTTTCATTTCCAGCTAAAACTGTATAATATACGTGTTTACAATGCTTATTTACATGATTTAGTCGTGGGTGTATGCCCGCGTGACATTTAGCTGAGATGGGAGCAAATTTGCGCAAACATAGTTAAAATAAACTGATTAGAGTAGAGCAGTCCTGTGTGTGTCTTAACTTATCTTTTATCTAAAAATCTTGCAGAATTACAAGTTATTATTGCATTTTACCGGTGCGTTTGTTTTAAAAAATTCTCACCTGTTGCGTTCCCCATGCAGTCTAATGAAGATTAGATGATGTTTTATTGAAGAATCTTGAACGAGGCCGACATGAGAAAATAATTTGATGCCTGAAGATCACTCAAACACGTTTTTTAAAAATAAAAACGCGAAAAGTTCGCTTGAAAAAAGAACGTTTAAAAATTACTGACAGCTATCACCAAAAAAATGGCGTCGTGCGCTATTGCAGCCGCAGCCAGAAGTATTTTTACCAGAGAGCATAGATATCCGGGCCGTGTAAAATTATGGGGCTAGTGCGGGTTTCTAAGATCCTCCATTGATCCGCGATGTCGATGCCCTAGAGCCCTTCAAACTCCCGTTTGAGGATTATTAATAACCTCAAATCTGGCTGGCACTGTAAAGAAAAAATATATTTTTGTGGGTCGAGCATGGAACGCCCGGAAGAGTACGTGGGTTTCTCACTTATCAATTACCATGTATCTAAGCAGCAATTTGGTTAAATTGGGGTATTGTCTTGTAGGCCTCATTCGACCACTGCAGACCTCCCAGTTGCAGGAAAAACAGACCAGAACTGGATCGAAATCACTGATGTGTTCCTTGAAAGTGTAAAGGGTAAGTATTCAGTGCAAAAACCCATTTGTTCCAGGCTTTTTTGGTTTTGATTTGGCATTTTATTCGCAGATCTAGAATTAGGGGAGCTGCTCCACGATGAACTGTTCGGGCTCTTTGACGCGATGTCTGCCATTGAAATGATGGACCCCAAAATGGACGCAGGGATGCTCTGCAATCGGGGGGCTCGCAAAATCACCTCCTTTGAACAAGCTGTAGCAGTCAGTATTCACTTTCCTGTTTTCTTGAGCGCAGTGAAACCGCCCCTTTATCTCACTCTTCTAGGATGGTTTATTGCCATTAAACGACCTGCCACCCCCGACTTTATTGGGCATTATAGACGGCACTTTGGCCCGGCTGGTATCCTGGTTGGAGGGACATTCGTTGGCTCAAACAGCAAGTAAACCCCAAATGAGGTTTGTTTTATTAACCTGTTTGTTCTCTCGGTAGGTTTTTACTTGCCTGTATCTGCATCGGCCGTACGCTCCCCAGGATAGGGCCCTCAAGGTTTTCTGCCTGTCCGTTTACAAATTGCTGGATGTTATCAAGGACCTTTTACACAAGTAAGGCTCAGATCCGCTGGAGGTAGTTGATTTTGAGCTTTCCTTGTCCTTAGAGCAATGGTTTTCGAAGAGGAAGATTTCCAGCCCATGCAATATGGGTTTCATTTGAACCCCGACATATCCGAGCAAAGGATGATTGGCATGCTGCGGGAAGTTGAGGAGGAGCTTCACAGGAAGTCGCGAAACAAGCAGTGTGAGGTGAGGAGGAGTCCCAAAGGCTATAGCAGCTAATCAGTGCAGTTTTTCCCGTAAGCAGCCGGAAATCCAGGCAATTTTCGTCAGGATAAAGTTTGTGCGGATATTCCTGCAAGCGCTAAACACGCTCAGAAAGGAGGACCAGCCCTCAAACTCGCTGAACGACTGCCAAAGGCTGCTCCAGAGCGGCGTAGAAATGCTGCAAGCCATGAAGGAAACTGTCCAGATGGGTCAGGGTGCCAACGACGGTACATTTTCAAAGCTGTTGATTTTAAATCATCTTAACTGGATTTCAATCTAATGCAGACGACGATGAAATCGCCTGCTTCGAACCGTCGATCAACCAAAGACTGCTGCCGCCCACTTTTCCGCGTTACACCAAAATAAAGAAGCGAAGCGACGCGATTGTTCACCTCCTGGAAATGCTGGAAAGGTTTAAGGTGGTCTGCAGGGCGCAAGGCCTCACCACGTTTCATCAGACACTGGTACTCATTGAACGTGCGTGTCAACCTGTTGAGGAAATTAATCGACTTTTTCTAGGAACTGTTTGCCGATTTCAGCCAATCCGGGCCCTGTCTGGTGTCGCGCAGCGCCTTGCAGTTGGTCGGACGCAACACTGGCTCGTCTAGAGAGGCCCTGAGAGAGGCTTTGCGGAACTTCTGCGGACCTCATGCTTTGAGTAAGGCATTTGACTGGTGAAAATGTAAACTGGATATGTTTTTTCAGGCAGTCGGGCTCTGCCAGCTGCACGTTCAGCTGCCGATGGCTTTCTAGCCCGCGCTTCTCGCCCTGCTGCATTGCTGCTGCAGCTCAGCGGCCATAATCGCGCTAGGCAACGAGACAAGCTGGCCATGCTACTCGACGATTTGGCTGTGCTGCAAGAAGTATGTTTTTGCGGGTAGATTGAGCAGGCGTTTACACTTGTTATTTAGGAGGCCGAGCGCGCTGATAGTGCCTGTGCTTTAGCCCTGGGGCAGCCCCCCAGGCCCCATTTTGCCACCTGGGCGCTCTATCACACCTTGCGGACGCAGGCCTTGTATTTGTTGGCCGGGTTTGAGCTAGAGCTTTACGCTGAACACGAATACTACTACATTTATTGGTAAGGGGCAAACTGCACAATTTCCCACACTTGTCCGCTAAGATTGCTTCTACTAATATCCAGAATTTCTGTATTAAATCTGGTGTGCAAGATGCGAATTTTTAAACGCGACTGTCCGATTGCTATGCTTTTCTGAATTTCGACAAGTTTAAAAATTTTCTGAAAATTCAACGAGCTTTTCGAATGGAATTAATTTTTGACAATTTATTCACTAAGCCCTCTGCTATAAATATTCCGATTTTCAACCCCAGTCTAAGCCAGTTTCTGACTTATTAATTTTTAGAAGAACGCGGGTGATGTTGAAGCGCTTTTCTGAAAAGTCAAAGTTCGGGAAATTCTGCATCATTTACTAGCCGCCAGAATGTTCGGAAATTTTCTACACTTATCCGCTAAGGTTTCTCCTACAAATATCCAAAATTACAGTAGTAGATCTAGCCGGGTTTGAGCGTTGCGATTTTTTTCCGATCGTGCACAGTTCTTAACCTCTAGTCAATTTCTTCAAGTGTTTTGGTCTATTGCAGGTACTTGTACGAGTGTATTTATGGCTGGTTGATTTCGACCCTGTCGCGGGCAGACAGTTTGCTGCAGGAGGCCTGGAATGGAACGGCCGCAGTGGCAACTGGGAGCGGAAAAGGAACTCGAAGGCAGAAGCCGAATAAAGCGGCCCGTAGGCCGAGGCCGCACTCTAAAGACGCGGTCAGATTGCAGGCGTTTCAACAGCTCGCAGGAGGATATTTTAAAGTAGATCTGCTCCCAAACACCAATTTTCCATGTTGAGAGTTTCGTTTCAGGCCCTCTTGGGGTTGCTGCGCGAAGGCCTGCTGCAAGCCCCTTTGCCAGGCTTCGATCGGGAACGGGTGCGCTTTGAACATCGCTTTGGAGTATTTTCTAGGCTGGAAACTCCTCCCTCTGCGGCATATCGCGACTTTAGGGCTGCTGCCCAAGCTGCAGGATCGCAGGCAAGTTTACCATTGAATATAAAGAACCAGAATTTGGTTGATGGCCTGTTTTAGGGCTCGGAACAGTTGTTTTTGTCTGCTGGTCGGCATTTCGGCCAAGCTGGACAATTGTTGGCTGCAGGAGGTCCTGCCGACTCGCCTTTAGCCCGCACAGCTAAAACTAATTTTGTACTGCTGCGCTTGTTGGCTGCAGGACACCGGCCCAAGATCAAGCCGACGTTTTGCTTTAACGAAAGTCGCCACTTTCCAGTCATTTGTCTCACTGAGGGCCAATTGACGCACGAATAATCACTTCTAGTCCTTTCCCAGGTGGATATTATTGATAAATAACACTACAGCTCGCTATTTATTTGGAGTCATTTTATTTCAAACAATACAAAAATTCGGAATCTTAGCTACTATTTCTTGCGGCATTAGGGCGGAAATTCAGAATGTTCCCAAAGCAAGCTTTAAGCGGAATTGTAGCAATAAATACTTTGCTTGTTGAAGTCCGGAGGTTTTTTTGCGTCTTGTTCGGGGGACACTTTGAAAGCTCAAGTGTGGAAATGAATGGAACAATTTGTGGAAAGTACTTATCCAAGGTATTTTGGCGTTCCTGATATTGAACATACTGTATATTCTAAATGCTGTACTAAAAAATGGTTGAGATTCCCAGCAAAAACCATCGCAAACATCTACTCTAATGGCAAGTTTTTCGTTATTTCGGGTATTTGTTACACAGGATGACCTTACTTGAATTAAAAGCAATTTTTGCCTGCATGTGACTTTGTTTAAGGAACTTATCAGAATTCGAATCGCCAGTCAATTTGGCAAAACCGGTGTGGATGTTTCCAAAATTAAGGCACCAGGTTTTCACATCGGTAGGGCAGTTCCTCTGGAACTAATTTAACAGTGTGCTGGTAAAAGAGCTAGAGGGATTGGGGATTATCCAAATCCCCTTGGTTGCCCTGTTACCATCACGTTTTTTTATCAAGCTCTAACTCAGTAGAGAACTGAGCTTCAAGCCGCTTTAGTTGAGCTTGTAACTACGTCTAAAAATCACAATCAATCAAAAATATAAATTAAACAATGGCCAATGAGTTCTCACTAAAACGATACACTAAATGGGCGTGGGTCGACAATGAAACATCGTCCGGATAAGCAAGTCTTCCCGGACGACGCCCTTCTAGGCTAAGTGAATACAACTAATGTTCTGCCTGCTTGAAAGAAATCACAGATTGAACTACCTCTAAGTAGTCTAATAAGTAGTCTACACTTAAGTCTAGTTACAGTGCAAGAATACTGCCTAAACTTGCTTTAGATGATTATTGTGGTCAAAGACTGCTAGTAGTTATTGTCTTTTTTTATTGGTTTCTTTGGCCGGAGCCAATGGGAAGCAACAGGGAGAAGCTGGCAACTGGACTTTGGTGCGTCAGCCAACAGTCAATGTTCCCAGTTGCGCGAAACATTGGCTGTTCGCCGTTTAAGACCCGGGTTTCAGCCGGGGGCAAACCCTGAAAACTGAATCGACTTCCCAAGCCGCTCAGCCGCTCTCCCTGCTTGCGACGTTCGAACAACGCCCAAATCTCCTTCTAGGTGGCTCAGTAGGATTCAATGATCTCAAAGATACTCACATAAGTACCAGTCAAGAATCCTACCAGCCCGAAGAAGATCAGGAACAAGTTCTTGTAGAGGCGCCAGTTGTACTTGCCCATACCCGGATCGTCGTAGAACGTGACCAGATCGATGGTGGCTGGGAAGATCAGCCCCAGCATCGACAGGCAAACGGCGCCTACCAATGAGATAAAGCCTCCGAGGTTGGGGATAAGGATGGCGAGCACGACAGTGATAAACACCAGGATGATGCGGATCGCGTAGTTGGCGAAGTTCTGGCTGGCGCTGCTGAAGTTGTTCTTCAGCGCCTTCCATATGATCTCCATTGGCACGTAGAACTGCAGGGCGTAGGTGAAGAAAATCGCCACTGCTATCATGAGCTTCACCGATTGGGCCAATCTGCAAACAAATGGTTTTTACTTCTCGATTAACAGCGTCTTCAATATTTGCGGAACAAGGAGAACGTAGGCAATTTATTTTCCCCCAGTTCTTTCTTTAACTGAATTCGATTCGATTACTTACGGATCATCTTGTGGCAGGTTGAGGGTGATGCTGCCTTCGGTGGCGTCGCCATACTTCAAGAAGCCAAAGAACCCAGTGGAGGCATAGAGGGAGACGACAAAGAACATGCCAATGTTGAGCACACTGGGACAGCCGATGAAATGGCTGGGATGTTTCATGTTGTTCTCCAAAGGCATCACTACGCCAATACCTTCCAGGGCGAAGATGGCGGTGCCGAAGAACATTGGCAACTTGGTGACACTTTCGTACGCTGGCTGCGAATCCAACGAGGGCAAATCGGAGAAAATGTAGTAGAAAGTGATGCCGATTCCAGTGGCGACCAGAATGTTGGCCAGCATGGACAGGGGCGAGAGATACTTTAGGTTGCGGATCAGGTTGACGAAGATGAGAAGCGGGAGCATAGCGGCCATGTAGAACCGGATATCGAAGGTGTATTCCTCCGGTGCGTAAACGTCCACCACTTGTTTGACGTTCTTCGCGACGAAGACTATGTAGACGCAGCAGCAGCCGAGTAGATCAATGACCAGGAAGAGGTTGATGCTGGCTTTGGCAAACTTCGCCCACGGACGGAACCCTTCCGGGCCGGCCAGAAAAGCTGCTTCCGCCACCTCGGCGAATCCAAGACTGGGCACTTTGGTCCGCCTGCAAAGCTCATGGGCGCTTTTCACCAAAATGTGGACGCAATAAGTGCAGATGATTCCAATGGCAAACGTGCAGAACAGTCCAAGGAAGAGCCCGGCGTGGGCAAAAGCCAAGGGCATGGCCAGAATGCCGCTGCCCAAACTTCCCTTGAGCAGATGGATGAAGGTGTCCATATCCCTAGAAGAAAATTTGCGAGTTAGACCCACCCACTTCATCCAGAAAAGCACTTACGAAGTCGGATGATCGAGCTTCCGATGCTGGAACGGGTCGTAATCGCCGATTTCCACATCCCGCTTGCAAAGAGGCACCGTTGATCCATTTGCAGACGCCACCTGGACCGGCTCTCCAGCTTTCTCAGCCTTAAAACTGGAATTGAACACCGATTAGCTACTGGCTTCACTTTTGGAAGGCCCCGTTTACACCGCAGGCTTTTTCGAAAGGAGCACGATTTCGGCAGTTATCGGGGTTTCAGGTTTTACTCAACGGTTTGAGGTAAACATCTGAAATTTCCGGCTCCGTTTTATGCGTTTCCAATGGCGGATTTTAGTCAGGGGCGTCACATTCAAGGGGGGTTTCTGCATTAATGATGTTCTATGTTTTTGGATTGTACAATTTGTCAAGTTTCCAAATTAAATTCGAGAAGCGCAAACATTTTTAAGCAAAAACTCCTCGTTTTATTGCACTAGAAGGGACCGTTTTCGAATAAATCGGATTTTTGAAAACCGATGCGTTTCAGGGGCGAACATCGGGTCGAGTTTTGCCTAAATAATACGCTAAGTTTTTGATTTGCAAAATTTGTGAATTTCGACATCTCATTACTGAATCGCAAACATTTCTCAGCAAAAAAGGTGCTCTTCTTTCATATCACTAAGGTGGGTTTTTATCAACTGATGCACCCTAACAAAATTTTTTTTTGCATTCTGAAATTTGTCAAGTTTTGAAATGAAATTCGTGAAACGCAAAATTTTCTAAGCAAATAAGTTCTCTTGATTCGAAGCGCCAGAATGAAAAGTTTTTCAGGAAATCGGATTTTGGAAAACCGATGCTTCATAATAAGAGTGAAAAACGAGCGGAGTTGTGGCTAAAAAATGCGCTAAGTTTTCGGTTTGTAAAATTTGTGAATTTTCGAAGTTTAATTATTGAATCGCAAACATTTCTAAGCAGAAAAGATGCTCTTCTTTTATTGCTCTAGGATGGACCATTTCCCAGCAAAATAGGTTTTTATCAACTGATGCACCATTACGACAAAAGGCGGCGGACATCTGCGTAAATGTTGCTCTAGCTTTTTGCATTGTAAAATCTATTAAGTTTTGAAATGAAGTTTCTGAAGCGCAAAGGTTTCTAAACAAAAAAGATCCTCTTGCTTCGTTGCGCTAGAATGAACCGGTTTCGAGAAAATCGGATTTTTGAAAATCGATGCATCACAACAAAAGCAAAAAACGGGCGGAGTTGTGGCTAAAAAATGCGATAAGTTTTCGACTTGTAAAATTTGTGAATTTTTGAAGTTTAATTATTGAATCGCAAACATTTCTAAGCAGAAAAGATGCTCTTCTTTTGTTGCTCTGGGATGGATCATTTTCCAGCAAAATAGGTTTTTATCAACTGATGCACCATAACGACAAAAGGCGGCGGACATCTGCGTAAATGTTGCTCTAGCTTTTTGCATTGTAAAATTTATTAAGTTTCGAAATTAAATTTCGGAAGCGCAAAAGTTTCTAAGCAAAAAAGATCCTCTTGCTTCGTTGCGCTAGAATAAACCGTTTTCGAGAAAATAGGATTTTTGAAAATCGATGCATTGTAACAAGAGCAAAAAACAGGCGGAATTGTGGCTAAAAAATGCGCTAGGTTTTTGACTTGTAAAACTTGTGAATTTTCGAAGTTTAATTATTGAATCGCAAACATTTCTAAGCAAAAAAGACCCTCTTCTTTTATCTCGCAAGGATTGATCGTTTTCAAGCAAAATGGGATTGTATAAACCGCTGCATCATTATAAAATTACGCTGCGTGCGGATTTCTGCTTAAATGTTCCCGGTTTGCAAAATTCTCTAATTTTTCAAACAAAGTTACTGAATCGCAGCCATTTTTAAGCAAAAAAGTATTTTCAACTCGCTAGGATGGTCCGTTTTCCAGAAAAATGAGCTTTTATAAACAAATGCACCCAATTCGAAAGCTCATTTTTCTGGGAAACGTTCCACCCCAGCCAGATGAACTAAGAGGAGCTTTTTTGTTCAAAAATGTAAAGAATGGCAATTTTTTCGAAAACACTGAAGGGCATCGAACTGAAAACTTGATAAAGCATCTGAACCCTCATTGCCTTCTTTCTCTCTACTTGGGTCTTTTTAAGAACTGAAGATAAAAACCCCAGCGATAAAAAAGTCACACATTTTTTGAAATTTCTTTTAACAGCGAGCGAGCCAGCCAAACAGTTTAAACTTTGCCTAATTCCCGTCAAGAAGCAAACGATCCCGGATTCAACCGTAAAATGAGCGTGTGTAAACTGGGCCTGGAAACAAAGTTGAAATGGGGATAATGGTTAGTACCGTATTAGAGGTAAAATATCTATTTTGAACATAAAGTCTTTGCTGTGAAGTTAAATAGATATTTCCGAACAGTGAGATGAAGTAGTGAATGTGGTGGGACAATTGCCTATTCGCCTGCACGTATCCGTACAAAAACCACGCGAAAGAAGCGATTTGATTGAGGGCAAAGTGAGCGGGTGGCTGTACAAATAGGCGCCGGTAAATGGCTGGACACAGTGTGGTGAAGGGATGAGCGTGTTGAAGGGGGTTTGGTTGGTAGTTGAACTAGTCGGGAGAAATAAAATCTGGTCTGAACGTTTTGCAAAAAAATAAATTAAAAATAAAATTTATGTAGTTGTACCGTTGCCAGTCCAAGACAGAAAGAATTCCCGCAGCTCCCACTCAGCAGCATAACATAGCTAAGCGTAGCTATGCCGCTCTCAGCACACACCACTTTGGGCCGTACTTCTTATGAGGGCTCCGAAAACTGACTTGTGCCAATTGAATTGACTAAACTTACAAAATATTATCAAAACAACACTATGCAACCATGTATAAACGCATTGGCATTCCTATTCTCTCTCAGCTCCTCGCTCTTTGCGACTTTATTAGTAACAATTCGAAATATAGATATAGTTGTTTATAGCATTATTAAGGATAGTGTGGAGCCTGTCAGTGTCTTTTCGATACACAGATGAGCGTATGAATCAATGAATGGGCACATTTGCATATAAAAGTAGTTAGAATCGCTGAAAAGGAAGGGGACTGAACAAAGCGTCTCTTTCAATGCAAATCGAGCAACAAAGACGCTCACAAGGCCCACATGGGTGGGAAAAGCGCCCTAACAGTTAACGTGCCTGCAGATATACATGGTTTTAAAATATATCAGTTCAATCATCGATTAATAAACAGTTCCAAACACCAAATAATTACAATCAAATTACTATTACTAGTTGAATTGATTCTTTTGACAACATAGCTCTAATTGGAATACCTTTTTTTTTTAAAGAAGCATTGTGATGTTCGATGGATGAATTTTTTTGATTTTTTTTGTTGGCAAACTAGTCGAAACCGTGCAACTCACCTTGACATTATCACTTGAGTGTTTACGCCGCCCTTTTTCGTGTCTAGTTGGGCGATTAACTGGGGCTGAAACAAACAAAACATTCTTCAGATTCGATCATTAACCGGCGCTCATTTTCAATGAAAGGCCTTTTCTTCGGCGCTTGGGTCGTTTACCTCAACCCACCTATGCAATTTTCTAGCAAAGAATGTCTGTGTGCATCGCTGTTGATGATGTTGCATTTTAACTGTTTGTACCTTCAACCGATTGACGATTGATTTACCCGAGACTTTCATCATTTCTATGTCGCAAATTGCGATTATCTCGAAAGTTTTGATGACGAAGCGGTTTCTATTTTAGAAAATCTTTCAATCGAAATAGTGAGAAAAGTATGCGTAATTTGGCATAACAATGTAATTGTTAACATTTAGGAAATCTTGGAAAAATGACTGAGTTGAGCTGTTTTCATCAATAAACCATCCAGTGCCTCTGGAGAACATCTCCTCATTTTCAGGGTATCAAAAATAGATCTCGCACTTGCAGGCGGGCATGGAAACATTCTTAAGCCACGGAGCCGATTCGACTTACATACATCTGAATTCTTGGATATTTAAAGCAAACGTTTCAATATATATCTTTTGATTCGGACGCCTGGTTAAATCTCTGGACATTTTTAAACTTTTTGGGATTTTTCTAGCGACGGTGCACGATTGGGTTTAAAAATTTGATACTTCCAAATTCGACAGGGCATATTTGTTCAAGTCTGCAAATTTGGAGGCAAAAATTCAGAAATTTTTGGTAGGGAGTACGATGTGCCCCAAACTTAAACGCCTGCACCTAAAAATGCATAAGTCGCAAACCCGATTAAATTTACAGTTGCAATTTTGGATTTCTATAGCAATGGGTTCAGGCAATATGCCGTGCAAATTTTATAAAATTGGCGAGTATGATTGATTTTTTGGAAATTTTCAAACTTTTTGAAATTCACACAATCATCCCAAATGTGCACGCTTAAGTTCAAAAAATCGCTAGTTGCAAATTCGAGGATATGATAGGACACTTCTGGGCATTTGAAGACAAAAACCTGAATACAAAAGTGTAATGGCTTTTGGAAAAGTTGGGTTGCTAGAGGAATTTATAGAATTTTAGGAACTTTGGTTTTTTTCAGAAATGTGCATCAGACGCACACGCGTGCATGCAAAAATTCATGTCACAAAGCCCCAATAAATAGTTCCAGCTGAATTTCTGTATATTTAAAGAAAATTCCTCAATAAATAAGCTCTCAAGATTACTTTCGATTCAGAAGGCTGGTTAAATTCCTGGAATTTTGAAAACTTTCATGTGCCACAAACACACGCCTGCGCCTAAAAATTCATGTCGCAAACCCAATAAAATTTACAGTTGAAATTCTGGATTGCCATAGCAAAACGTTCAGTGAATCTGCTATAAAAATTGTATAAAATTGGCGAGTATGATAAAGATCTAATAGTGAAATTCTGGAGCTTTGTAGAAAAAACCTTCATGCAGATGTGTAACAAATTTAGAAAGGTTGGCCTGCTAGGAGAATTTATGGAGTTTTTGGAACTTTGGATTTTCAGAAATGTGCATCAGACGCACACGCGGGCATATAAAAATTCATAAGTCGCAAACCCGATAAAATTTACAGTTGAAATTTTGGATTTCCATAGCGAAACGTTCAGTGAATATACTACAAAAATTGTATAAAATTGGCGAGTGATTGATTTTTTGGAAATTTTCAAACTTTCTGAAATTCAGACAATCATCCAAAACGTGCGCTCTTAAGTTCAAAAATTTGCTAGTGGCAGATTCGAGTAGATCTAATAGTGATTGTCTGGAAATTTGTAGAAAAAACCTTTATGCAGACGTGTAATAAATTTTAGAAAGATTGGCCTGCTAGGAGAATTTATGGAGTTTTTAGAACTTTGGTTTTTTCAGAAATGTGCATCAGACGCACACGCGTGCCTGTAAAAATTAATGTCACAAAGCCCCAATAAAGAGTTACAGCTGAATTTCGATATATTTAAAGAAAATTTCAATAAATAAGCTCTCAATATATTTTTCGATTCGGAAGGTTGGTTAAATCCCTGGAATTTTTAAAACCTTTATGTGCCCCAAACACACGCCTGCACCTGAAAATTAATGTCGCAAACCCGGTAAAATTTACAGTTGAAATTTTGGATTTTTATAGCAAAAAAAATCTACTATAAAATTGGCATTTTAGTATAATTGATTTTTTGAAAATTTTCAAACTTTTTAAATCAATTTGAAGACAATCATCCCAAACGGGCGCGCTTAGGTTCAAAAAGTCGCTAGTTGCAAATTCGAGAAGATATAATAGTGAAATTCTGGAGCCTTGTAGAGAAAACCTTCTTGCAGACGCGTAAAAAATTTTAGAAAGGTTGGTCTGCTAGAAGAAGTTATAGCGTTTTTAGAACTTTGCCTTTATCATAAATGTGCACCAGACGCACACGCATGTGTATTTAAACCTTCATAAGTCGTAAAATAGATAAAACTTCCAGTTCAACTTCCGGGAATATGTAGAGAAGACCTGAGTTAATCCGTGTTAAAAATGTTTGTTCAGTTGGGAAAGCTCATTGATTTTCTGTAATTTTTTAAACATTTTAAAGCTTTTTAAACCATCTTCGCCATCGTCCAAACACTCACAACTCGCAAATTCGAGCAGATCTAAGGTTGAAATAATTTTTTTCTTATATCGTAATCACTCCTCGAACATAAAAGAACACAGCTTTAAGTTACAGAAACTCTTAAACCCGATTACCAGCGGAAGTAAGTAAAAAATTCTGTTATTTATGGCACAAAACATCATATTTCTGCCGTTAGCGCCTGTAGAGCCAAAAAATTGGGGTCAAAAATTGGCAAAATTTCACTTAATGAACAAACCAAAAAAAAGTTCTTCAACGTCAGTTAAATAAGAATATGAATGCATCGAATTTGGGCGCCAAGTTTAGCATTTCAACACCCAATCACTTCCTGATATTGGCGCTTTCTAAATGAATTTTTCGCATTAATTCCAAAGTCGCCAGCTAGAATTACGCAATGCATGATTCAATAATAAATAAATGGCTGAGAATGAATGGAATAATTGGCACATGCACAGTTAGTGGACTGTTAATAACAAAAATAGCTTCCATATGCCAAAAATGAACGCAATAACAATAACAATAGCCGTTTATCTTTATTGACAAGTAATTTTCCATGGAGGAAAGTCTTACTGTTGATACATTTCAAGCGCATAATAATTTTTGCGTATTCACCAGGTAACGGGATAGTTCCATTTGTTGAAATTCAAGCCGCATAATTAACAACAAATAATATTATTTAGTTTTGTGGGCCGTCTATGTTATGTAAGCAGCGTGATGCCTTCCTAAACATATCAAGCCAACGTCGTAAAAATTGTGCCACTATATGAAAAGGTGATTCAGGTATAGATAGGGAGCGTGTGTTGAAAAATGATAAATGATAACACTTATCTTGTTTATTCAGATTGCATCAGGCTGATCCGTAAGCCTCTGGTTTAGTTTATTTGCCTGTGTGGATTTTTCCTTATAAACAGGGCTAAATGGAAAAATTGCCCAATTTCCTCAGGGCACATTTTAGGAAATTCTTTTCCCCACAGACCAAATTTTGCATCTTTGGAATATCCGAGAAAACAACAGACTTATTTGAGATGCGCCCTATGCTACAGGAAATCGATGACAAAACATTCGTTTTTTCCATGAAATTCATTCACATCCACTATGGAGTTAATAAATAACAAAAAGCCAATAACGGGGGATAAACTGAGGCGTTTTATGCGTAAAAAAACCGCCACATATCCGTACTTGTATTTCCTGTCGGCCAAGGAAATCAATCAATTTCCTACTCGTTGCAGCGAAGGTCAGAATCCCAATGCCTTGAGCATAATCAAGAGCACTTACCATATGTGCAAAGAAACCATTTTCCGTTGCCATTAGAAAGGGATCAAGAGCTCGGAGGGTCCAAAAAACCAGTTTTTCCTTGTCCATAACCGGACTTGGGCCGATTCAACCGATGGTAATTGTGCGAAGAACTGCAGTTATTTCAATTTAAGCAATTTAGGGTTCAGCAGATGGTAATGTCGTAATGGGAATTGTCGAAGAGTGACCGATAGTGAGGAACAGTCGGTTGCAATCATAAGAAAGACACGTTATTTTCATTTTCTGGGCTTCCAGACAGTCGAGTTCCAAAAATTCGCAGCTTGCAAACGAGTCCAGATATATTACTGCAATTGTGGATATTGGTACAAGAAGCATCAGGGGATAAGTGTACAAAGTTTCAGAAAAATTAAGAGACTAGTAGAATTCTGAGAATTTTTCAAACTTTGCCTTTGACGAAGTCGCGAACCAGAATGCATATACAAAAAGTTGAAATTTTCGACTTTATTGCCAATGCGTTTGGAAACGTATTCACCAACATTTTATCAGATTTATATCTTTCAGTTATTTTCTAGACATTTTCTGGCAATTTAGAACAGCATCTCTTTTGCGTACGAGAAATGTGCGTCAAACGTACAGGCGAGCATCTAAAAATTCATAACTCACAAACTCAAAGAGACTCGAAGTTGAAGGTCCGGATTTGCATAAACCATGGTTTAGGGAATAAGTTCCCAAAACTTCATCAGATTCGCAGCTCTAACTTATTTTCTACAAATTTTGCAACCTTTGTTAATTTAGCAAAGCATCTCCACCGGGAATGATTAAGTTCATAAATTCACAATGTGCAAACTGAAAAAGCTTTAACTCTGCAATTCTGTAAAGGTGTGGCAAAAACCTTATTGGATAAGTGTGATCAATTTTCCAAAGTTCGGAACGCTGGTGAAATTTATAGAAATTTACAAACTTTGACTTATGAGAAATGCGCGTCAAACGTACAGACGGGCATCTAAAAATTCATACCTCATAAACTTGATGAGACTCGAGGTTGAAATTTTGGATTTTCACAAACGATGCTTTAGTGAATAAGTTCCTTAAAATTTCATCTGGTTCGGAATGCTGATTGCATTTCGCGATGCAATTTAATAGACAAT